GTAGTATCTGCGCATGCACCTGGGACTGCAGCAGCTTGAGCCAAGGTGGAGCAGCCCTGGGCTGGCAGCAGGCTTGGTGGGAGGGGCTGGCTGGGACACAAGAGCACTGAAACTGCAGAGTTTGTGGCTGACCCCCAGAGCCTGCTGCTCCACCTCAACTCAAACTGCAGTGGTCCCGGTCACAGTCCACACATGCATTTCTGCACAGTAAATGATTCTGCCATAAGATAGTACTGTGCCTGACAGTACTGTCTTATGGGAGAGTCGATTAATTTAGAGCGTATTAGTTCAGGTGGAGATCTTTGCATTAATCAGGGCATTATACTCCTGTTGCCCAGGATTTACCACATTAGCATTCTTAAGTTTTCTTTAGGTCATTTAGATTTCATAGACATTAGGGCTGGAAGGGACCTCAAAGATCATCAAGTCCAGTACCCTGCCCCAGGGGCAGGAAGTCAGCTAGGGACAAAGGATCCCAGGAAGATAAGCATCTAAGCGTTTCTTGAATGAGTCCAGAGTAGGTGCCTGCACCTCTTCTGGAGGGAGTCTGTTCCAGGCCTTGGGGGCTCGGACCATAAAGAAATTTTTTCTTATGTCTAACTTAAAATGGTCTTGTAGGAGTTTATGATCATTGGTCCTTATTTTTCCATGGGGCGCTCTGGTGAACAGACATTCTCCCAGAACCTGATGTACACCCCTTATGTACTTATAAGCAGTGTGAGCCTGCTCTTTTCCAGACTGAAGAGTCCCATGGCTCTCAGCCTGTCTTCATAAGGCCTGTTCTCTTGCCCTCTGATAATGCACTGGCTCTCCTCTGGACTCTCTCAAGCTTCTCAACATCCTTCTTGGATTGCAGAGCCCAGAATTGGATGCAGTACTCCAGCTGCGGCCTCACCAAAGCCGAGTACAGTGGGAGGATGACATCCTGAGATTTACTTGAGAAGCATCTATAGATGCAAGCCAGGGTTTTGTTTGATTTACCAGCTGCGACATCACATTGGTGGCTCATATTCATCTTGTGGTCAATCATGACCCCCAAATCTTTTTCCGCAGTGGTGCTAGCAAGCATAGCACTGGCAAGCCTATAAGTATGCTGCAGGTTTTTTCCCCCGAGGGGGAGTACCTTACATTTATCGGTATTGAACATCATCAGGTATGTGTTTGCCCACTTACTAAGTTTATCCAAGTCAGCCTGGATCACTAGCCTGTCCTCGGGTGTGGACGCTATTCCCCAAAGTTTAGTGTCTTCAGTGAATTTAGCCAGTGTGCTTCTGACACCAATGTCCACATCGTTGACAAAGATGTTAAAGAGAACTGGTCCAAGGACAGAGCTTTGGGGGACGCCACTGGTCACAGAGCACCATAATGATTCACTGCCCTTGACTACTACTCTCTGGGTCTGACCTTGGAGCCAATTTCCCAACCATCAGACTGTGGTGTAGCCAAAGCCACAGTTGGCCAATTTATCTATGAGGAAGTCATGGGACACCAGATCAAAGGCTTTTTTTAAAGTCCAGATATATGACGTCAATCTCTTCTCCCTTGTCCAGGTGATACATCACCTGGTCATAAAAGGAGATGAGATTGGTCAGGCAAGACCTACCCATGACAAACCCGTGCTGGCTATCCCTCAGGATGTTGTTCTTAGCCAGCTTATCCAGAAGGGTCTCCTTAATAATTTTCTCAAGAATCTTACCAGGGATTGAGGTCAAGCTTGTAATTCCCGGGATGTACTTTCTGCCCGTTCTCGAAGATGGCCTTCTTGGCCACATTGGCCACGAGTTTTCTAACATTTTTGCCAATGGTTGGGCTATGACACCTGCTAGTTCCTTGAGTACTCTAGGGTGTAATCTGTCAGGACCAGCTGACTTGGAGGTGTCCAACCTCAAGGTGATCCTTTACTACATCAACACTGATGCTGGGTATAAATACGCCCTCACCTTGGCCATTCCGTATCATGCTAGACAGAGCGGTCCCATTGGACTGATGAAAGACCAAGGTAAAGTACCCATTAAGCAGGTTGGCCTTTTCCTGGGTGTCAGTTATCAGCTGTCTTGTTTGGTTCAGCAGGGGTCCAATGTTACCCTTGCTTTTTTCCAACTCCCTACATATCTGAAAAGGGACTTTTTGTTATCCTTGATCTGTGAAGCCAAATGGAGCTCTGTTGCAGCCCTGGCTTTCCTGATCCGCTCCCTGCAGGTACAGACCAGTGCTGAGGACTTGTCTTCACTGCACAATTAACTCAAGTGTTGTCACAACGTAAATTACGTTCACACAGAACATTTTCATTCAATTTGGCTGGTTTGTCAGGGTATATAGGCTACACCTTGAATTGACGCAACTTGTTATCTCTTGACACAGTCACTCCCTGCAGCTTGCTAGTTATTTAGCAGTGAGGCCACTGCTTGTGGTAGGCTAATCTAAGAGAGAACATAGATCACCAAAGAGCTGATCTAAAATGTGGCCTTTGTTTAATTTTGTGTTGCATTCTGTCTTTCAAACATAGCTTTAGCAACTGTTTTATCATTAACCCAACTTGGTTAATTTCCAAGAGCTAAATATAAACTAGCATCACATCTTGTGGGAAACAGCTTCTGGCTCCTTTGTGATTCCTTAGGGAAGATTCCAGGTCAGTGTCTGGATAAAATCCAGATGATTAATATTCCGGCAGGGGGTTGTTGGGTTTTTTTTTGGCCTCTGCCATTTCCTGCCTTGCTTTTTCCTCCTGTCCCACTGATATTCAGTGTCTCCTGTGACAGCTTTGCCATTTTCCTCTTAGCTGTTCATTTGTTCATCATAACTATTACTTACTAATTGTCTTGCATGTCTAGTGTTATCCTTCAAACTTAGGCCTTTTTCCTTACAGTTGATTCTCCAGTTCAGTTGGAAGTTTGACCCATACAGACTTTATTTTGTTCCCACCTCCGGTCATCTTCTGCATCCCCTGCAAGATTTAGGATTCTCTCTTATCACTTGTATCCTCAACACATCATGTCACAGCCATAATAATCCTGTCAGCTAAGGATTGCATCAAATCCTTGCTGGAGTCTGCTACTGTCACTATTTTGTGAGCAAAACACTTTTCTTGGCAGTATCGAAGAGGTGCAACTCCAGAATTGTCAGTAGCCCAGTAATGAAGGGGTGTACCGGGGTAGAGGAGGCTGAACTTCAAGTTTCCATTTTAGACAGGGGTGGGATCTGAAACTGGGTCTCAAATCCCAGGTGAACCTTTATCACCCAGCTGTTAGCCATCTTGAGATTGTTGAGGGTTTCACTTTTGCAGACTGCTGATCCAATGTACAATGGAAAAACAGTCTTGAAAAAAATGAAAGCATTTTGCAGAATAGGAACTTTTGTGTGCTTTTTTTACCATAAGGCAGTATTGCAGTATGTAAATAAAGAAAAGAATACATGCAGAAAAAGCCAGGCTCACAGTAATTTGTTTTAAGAAAGGACTAACACAAATCACTATGCATCTTTAGTTTTTCCAGTAAATTAGTTTCCATTTTACTGATAGCAGTTTTCTTACCACCTTGGATGCTAACAAGACTGGAGAGAGAGAGAGAGAAAAGCTTTGTAGCATGACTTAAATTTCTGATCTAAATACACACAGCCATCACAACACTCAACCCTGCAACTTATTTTTAGCAGTTTTAAGTCATGTTGTTTAGTTGTACAAATGGGTGAATTGCAAATCCAGTGTAATTTCTCCAGTGTTATATAGCAGTTACTGAAACAGGGTCTAATAGATCTCATTTTAAATAGGGTTTAAATATTTGTTAGTGACTAAGTTATGCTTATGCATATCCTCATTGAGTAAACAAAGAGCACAGTAATTTACAGTGGGAGGTCCCTATCATTAATACAACTTACAAACAACGCTACACAAATAAATTACACATTTCTGGTAGATCTGATATCTGAGTTGGTCTAATAAAAGATAGTTGGAAAAATTCTTCTTAGCAAGCTTTTGGGCACAAATGCCCTTCATCAGGCTGAGAAAATCTGTCTGTGTTCTTCTACAGACACTTCCCCAGCCTGACAAAGGGTGTTTTGTGCCTGAAAGCTTGCTAAGAAGAATTTTTCCAACTATTTGAGTTGGTCTAATAAAAGATATCGGATTTACCCAAAGAACCTTGTCTACCTATGTCCTTAGATCAACATGCCTACAACCTACACCCCTGAAACATTTCTGGTATAGAGTTCAGTGGAAAAATTCCCTGAAGAATTCTTTTAATTGCAGTTTTCCTTCAAATGGTCTAAAAGTCATGATTTAATCCTTTAGGCTGCTTTAGGAATTCTTAGGAAAAATGTATATTCTTCATAGGCACTGTGCAAACTTCCACATAAAGCTTTTGAATACTGATCATTTGCCCATACATTGTGGGTAAATGACCACTAAAGGCCTTTGTTTTTGTTGTGGTGGTATTCAGAAATTGAACCAAGGCCCCTTAACTTTTCAGCTTATGTCATCGTATGTTGTCTGATATAAAGACATTATAAGGCCTTTGCTCAGACTTATCCTAAGCAGTTCAAGTTGTATTGTCTGGTATGTTTTTCAGTCTGACCTAAGTTAATTTTCTAATGTGGAATTGACTGTCTTGGACCAGCCATCAAACCACAACAAACACTACATAATACAAATTTTCGTCTTCCATATGCAATCAGTGTGCTACCTGGTCTTAGGCAGCCTTCACATCCACAACACCATGTGGAGCCAATCCCACACACACTTTCGCTTTGTTAATAACTATGTTTGTTGTTGTGAAGATAAATGGAAAGCTGGGGGCATGGGTCTGGTTATCTGTGTGTACATATTGGGGATGGGTTTTTTTATTGAGAGATCCTTTAGCTGATGGATATTCAATTTAAAACTAACTACTGTTAGTTTTTGGCTGTACTTGCTTGGTAGAACAATTCACAGCTATTAGTCAGTTATCTCTCTCAATATGCTGCACATTACATCACTATATAACAAATCAAATATCGTCTCCCTACAGGTATCGGATATTCATATCAGTAGGTTTCGGGATCCCAAGCGAGTTCTTGATTTTGAGAAGTTCTGTTCTGAAACAATTAATATAATTCAACCAGCACTTGTTCTAGTAACAGGTAAGCAGTCCAGAAATCAGACTTGTGTTGCCCCCTCCTTTGGCAGTTCTCTGAAAAGCTGTTTCTAGATTCAAACAAAGAAGCCAAAGCTTTAGGGCTTTGTAAGTAATAAGAGTGAAACCAAAGCAAAGGGGCATCTTGTTAACCCCACAAAAAGATACAGTACTAGCCCCAGCAAAATCAGTATTAAATTAAACTGTATTTTGGAGGTAAAACTGGAAGGTTAGTGAGAGTAAGTGCTCAGCACCATGTAGTACAGCAAGGGGGTGCATCTGTATCATGTCTTTAAAAAATTCCTTAAAGTTATGTCAGTGTGCCTCAAACCTGATCAATGGCAACCCTTCCTATTCTGGTCCCTCCAGCTATGATTGCCAATCATGTGTGTTGTCTGAGATATGGAATGCTTAGCTTGAAGTACAACTAATTTTACCTGTCACTTAAAGCAAGCTGTTCTTATCTCCAAACTGTCAGTTGTTTATAACCCCTATTCATTTATATAAAAAACCTACGTAATGCAAGAACTAATCTTTATGAGATTTTGCTGCTCATGCTTTTTTTACCATATGGCATGTCAAGACAGATGACATAAGCTGTTTTCGCTGTTTTGGCACAGCTATCAAAATGGATTAGAATATACTAAGTAATCTGAAGCAACCTTGTTGTAATTGCTGTATGCTGGACTCTAGATGGGAAGGGGGCAAGGTTCTCCATAGTAGAGAACCTGTCATTGACTGGAGTTCATGCTGTCATTATTGAGCAAGCATGTTTCCTAAATGGCTTTTAGGTTAAATTATAGTACCATATTTACTCAATTCCAAGGCAAAGTTTTTCCCTCAATCAATGCAGAGGGGGAAAAAAACCCTCCTCTTAGATCTGAGTACCAGCCTGGGGCAGATGCCAGCTCAGCTTTGGACCTGAGTCAGGATTGAAGCCAGAGCAGAACTGCTACTTGCCTTAGGCTGGGGTAGCTTATGTGGTGAGGGAAGAGGCTCATGATGGGGGGCACGCAAGGGAGACTATATGAGGGAGTGGGTGGTACAGAGGGGAGATTGTGCACTGCACCTCCATTGGGCGGAGGTGACCACATTGACTTCCTATCCCCATCTGCCTTCCAGCCACTTACTAACTACCCCACCACACCCCACTGCTTACCTTCAGCTCCATCTCTGGCCCCCCCCAGCTCTGACCTGGCTGGGTCTGAAGCTGCTGCTGCTGTTTCGACCTTGCCAGGTACCTTGCCTGTGCTGGGCCCTGGGCTGCCACTGTTGACTGCCCCAGAGCTAGAGCCAGAGCTGCCACAGAAGGCACAGGAATGGGGAGTGGGGGGAGCAGGCACAGGCATAGGGGGAGGGCTAGAGGCAGGAGGGTGAGGAGCAAGGGTCTGGTTCCTCACCCTCTGCCTTTGCTTTCCCTGCCACAGCAGTGGGGAGAACAATTTTTAAAACAACCCCCAGTAATTAAATTATATACATGGAAAATTATAACTAATTTATAATTTTCCATGTATAGAATCTAAGTATTGGAGGTTGTCTTAAATTTGAAGTTGCCTTGGATTCAGGTAAATACGGTGATTCGGAAGTATCTTAATTTGTTTGTAGATAGTTAAACAATGTGCATCAGTAAATGAGTAAGCATTAAAACAAATTCCTAATGGACGTGTAACTCAAATATTGGCAAGAAAAAAATGAAAACTCCAATTATAATTAAAGCTAACATTACCAATGTCAGTTGAGTGACTGTCCTAGGAAATGTAGTACTGCAAGTAACAAGTTGACCCCTCGGTGTTTTCAAGGTATAATGGATACTTGTAAAAACTTTCTCTGCTTAAGCCAGGTATATGGGATTAGCAATGTGCTGACATTATATTAAACAGAAGATGAAATATAGTTATGTAGAGTACCTAAACTTTAACAGAGAGCCTTCAAGAGATTCCCAGAGGAAGCTCTTACAAATGGCATATATTTCCACTATACATTCAGAGAAGGCCTGTGATCATTTAGAGCTGCAGAGAGATTTTTGTCCATCTGCAGGCCAGAATGACGCAACTTGGGGCTGATGTGTGCTGGCACTAGGACCCAGCCACTACCACCATCACTTTTCCCTGCTGCAGTGTGGTGAAAGTCCCTCCATGACTGAAGCCCCTGGCAGCATCGCAGCACAGCACAGGTGAAGTCCTCCACTACTGAAGCCCCCCAGCTCTGGGCCAGATCTAGCCAACAGATGGAAAACCAGGTTGCCAACCCCTGATTTAGAGTATAAGGAATGCCCTGTATGCGTGCACTGTATATTATTTCTGTGCAAGCTGCATAAAATGTAGTCTCTCATTCAGTCTTTGTTTCATGCATTTACAGGTGACTTGACAGATGCCAAAACAAAGGACAAGTTGGGGTCTGAGCAGATTGAAGTAGAGTGGCAAACTTACCAGTCAGTCTTGAAGAGGTCACGGGTCATGGAAAAAACCAAGTGGATTGATATTAAGGGGAACCATGGTAAGAACTGAGGAACTAATAGTTTAAATGAAGCAGCCTGTTACTTCCCTTAAGATCATGAAATCTCTATCTAGTCAAATTAAAGTGAAGGCTTTTTAGGATGTGAATACTCATTAATGCACTGGTGCAAGGTCTAACACAGGGTATGCAAAATATGGCCTGCGGGGCCCCTAAAAAATTTAGAAAATTAATATTTCTCTGTCTTTGATTCCTGTAAAAAAACACAGGAACCAGGGGCAGTAGGACCCAGGGGAACCCAGTGGGCTCCTGCAACAGCAGGGCCTGCCCAGCCCTGCCCCCTCAGCCAGAAGCCCCATCAGGGGGCTCGGGGACACTGGGAGTGAGCGGATGCACGGGGCCCACACTGGTGTCCCAGGGCCAATGGTGGCAGTGCCCAGAGCAGGGCGGCAGGACTACAGGGCCCCGGCCGGCAGGGGCTCTATGGAGCCAAGCCAGCTCCCCCCTCTCCTGGCTGGTGCAGCCCAACCTGGCTCCACAGACCCCTGCCAGCCTGCACCCCGCTCTGGGCCCCACCGGTGCTGGCCCTGGGACATTGGTCCCAAGATGGTGGCCAAGGGGCGGGGCACCTGTCAAGGGGCAGGGCTAACCATGCGGCCCTCGACAGCTTGCCAAGAATGGGTAAGCGGCCCTCTGCCCAAAATAATTGCCTGCCCTGTCTAACGCTTTGAAGTTTTGCCATCTGAGGATCCACCTTAATGGTAGTGTCTCCTCCTACATCGGTTTCAGGATTGAGCTTTTAGCAAACAAAAGCATAGGGTCTCTCATTTCTTGCCTTTGACTAGCAAGTATTTGCGTAACTTGGGGCATACCTCTTAAACCAGGGATATCAAACACAGTCCACAGGCCAGCTCTCTGCATAGCTTGAGCTGAAATATATGGGCATCCATCCTATAGTTCATCCAAAGCCAGATGGCTTCAGTCAATAAGACTTGAGCATGTTATTCATATTAATAACTGTCAGGATCACAGGACTGTGCACTGTTTCCTCCATACTATCTATTGATTTGAAAGTGATGTTGGATGGTTAAGCCCAAACAGAGTCTTCAATACCAGGAAGAGAATCATAAGAATTTGTTAATTTGATCACAAGTTCCAGAATTCCATAGGCTCTGGTAAATATTCCAACATCCAGCATGAAAAAAATTCCGGAACCTATTGAGATTAGTGGAAGGACTGTGCATCATACAATATTTACCCAAAATCCTGTGCTTAGAAAAGGCCCTTGTGAGCGCAGTGATTAACTTGGGAATTGGCTTAAGGTAGCATAAAAAAAGTAGGGGTTTGCTGATAAAGATTTTCTTGCCCGACACCAATAGCCAATTATTCACCAGGCACCTTGGCTGATACTGATCTGATGATAACCGATTTACAAGAGCACAGCCGGGCAGTGTGGAGAGCAGTTCCCTGCAGCTAAGTCTGTAGAAGGGAAGGGGCAAGGGGGGAGGGAAGGGGAGGGGAAGGGCAGATCAAGCCCCCACAGGGAGGAAGTGGGGCAGGGGCTGGAAGTGCTGCCCCACCAGGGCAGTGAATGGGATCCCGGGGCTGGGGCGGAGAGTGGGACAGAGCTGCAGATGGCTCATCCAGGGGATCAGTGTCCCAGCACTTAAAAATGGCAGTGGGGGCTCTTGAACTAAAGTTCACCAAATAAGCTTTAGTTCAAGTACTGTTGCCACTATTTTTAAGCATGGGGATGCTTTTAGGAGTGGAGCTGAGTGGGGTGAGGGTGGATGTAGGCTGCCCTCTGTGGGCTCGGGGCTTTCCGCCCTGCTGTCTTTACCCTGGGAGCCACACACTGGCCATGCGTCCCTGCCCACGCAGCAGTGGGAAGTACAACTCGCTGCTGCCACCGCTGCCAGGTAGGTAGAGGACACGCAGCCAGCATGTAGCTTCTGGGGCAAAGACAGCAGGGCAGAAGCCCTGAGCACACAGCAGGCAGCCAGCATCCACCCCACACACAAATCAGGGAGAATATGCCCCCCCCATTCCTCCCCCAGGGGTGTGTGCAGCAGTGGGGAGCCACACCCCCTCCCCCCCACACACACACACATCAAGCTGCCCACAGCTCTGTCCCACTCCCTGCCCTGGTCCTGGGGATTCACTGCCCGAGCTGGGCAGTACCCGCAGCCCCTGCCCCACTCCCTCCCTTATCGTGGTAGTTCCAATCTGCCCCCCACCCTATGTTCCTTCCCTCCCCCACACTCCTTTCCCACCAGACTTACCTGCAGTGCTGCTCTCCACACTGCCCAGCTGCATTCCTGGCCACGTGTACGTGTGTAACTGCACGCTTGCAGGTGGTATCCAGGTGCCCCTGCCAAAATATTATATTTATTGGTTAATATTACCAGTTACACCAGGAATAAAAATCCAATAGCTGATGATGTTAATTTTCCTGTTATTGGTGCTGATCTGATATGGCACCTATATATTGGTGCATCTCTCTAAAAAAAGTAGTGTAGATGCACAATTTTGCTCTAATAGGAAAAAATACTGAAGAGCTTTCCCATGGAGGGAATAAGTTCAGGGGACTGCTGAAACCTTCACTTATCCACTTTATCCTTAACACCTAGAGAAAGTGAGCTAAGCCAAAATCTTCAGTCCATCCTGCATGTGGCTTGGAGGAGGAGGAGTGCTATATAACTGGCAAAGAAGCAGATGTTCGTGGGTGTAGAAAGCTTCTTTGTGTGTCAGGGACTACCATTGTGCTTGCATGCAAATTAAAGGGGGGTTTGCTGATACACTAAACAGGATGTGAAGTCACATCTTTGCACTTGGAGAATGCAAAGTTACCTTGTTATATAGCTTGATGGTTTATGAGTTTGTCAGAGGGGTATCTCCTGATGTTTACATATGCACAGTTAAAAGCAGCCTGTGGTTCTGATGAGTTCATATGCAAACAGCAAGATTCAAAGATAATTGATGTTTATAGTATGTACAGCCTGCCGTGGTTTGCAGAACCTGTCCTGTCCAAACCATGCACCAAAAGAAGACTTGGAGCTCCAGATGGTTTATTTGGAATTTTAATTCATAATTTCCTTTTTTCTCTTTCCCTGCAGATTCATTCAACATTCCACACCTAAAGAGTGCCCAAAATTACTACAGGTACTTTAGTATACCATGCTAAACTCAAAAGTCGAAAGTTAATTAAATGGTAGAACATTCTTTTCATAGCCTATTTTTCATGTATACACCTTCTGACTGACTTTGCCAGAGCTTAAAGCCATGTTGGGTTTAGTTTTCCAGTTGTCCTCTGTTGCTTGCTACTCTTGGAATGGGCTGATTCAGTGGAAAGTTTGTTGCCCGCTTTGTAATCTTTCACTTCCCTATGGTTTGTGGCCGTGTATGTTGTAATTCTTCTGTTACTACACATGCTCAATGCATCGTATTTTTCTTCTCTCTTAAATCGTCTCAGTGACATGCTTCTGAAATGCCATCATCTTAGAAGGATTCTTTTGTAATCTCATATTCTGAGGTTCCACTCTGCATCTTTAGTAATACTTTATATCTGCATGAGGAGAGAAACTGCTGAACTAGTTTATCACCTCTGAATAAATTTTAGAAAATTAGAAAAGGGACAGGTAAGAAGGAGTGAGGACAGAGGAGAGGGCCAGACAGAAATTCCTAAAGAAAAAATCCTAAAGACTGAAGCAGAATGAATGAGAAATGCCTAACCCCCCTATAAAAGACAGAAAACCTCTTTCTCTATCCATATGAAGGATTGCAACAATCCACTGGTAGGCATGAGATGTGAAGGACATGTATGTTTGAGTACTAATTCAGCTAACCCTTTGTTTATGCCTTCACCACAGAATGAGCCTAAAGTGTTACCCCTAAATCCCTCCCCATCCACCCTCATCCAAACACAAAAAACAGCTTCCTCAAGTGTAGTGGTGCTTTTCCATTTGTTTTCCATTTTGTTTTCATCCATCTGGCACAGTTTGACTGCAGAAGCGAAGGTTTTACTTCAGTGCAACTCAGCCACTTTGCAATGATGGCTGAATTATTCAAGTGCTGATGTCCTACAGTACTGCACTTGCCTTAAATTTGAGCCGACTGCTTGTTTTATAAATCACTTTTTCATTGTCCAAATTCTATTTTTTGGGATTTTGTCTATTTAGTGACAAGTTTAATATGGCAACATATAGCTAAAGCAAATCCTATAACTTTAGTAGAATTGAGTCTGCTTGCACCAATGTTGATTTTGGCCCACATTCTGTATACTCTTCTGAATTCTTTATCATTAGACTAACGCAAGGGACTTTTTTTTAATTTCAAGTGTTCACTTGCTGAACATCGTGTTTTCAGGTAAAAAAATCTTCCACTTCTAAACTAAAATGACTTCTATTTATAAAAAAAAAAGTTCTGTAAATATTTTTTTATTTATTTTCTTGCTGTTGGGGCAGGTCTTAAAATTGATGCAATGGGAGTGAAGATATCTCCTGTATAAGACTGGAAAATTGCAGTAAAATCCCTTAAAAACTGTTAGGCATTACAGAAAGGCAGAGTCGGTATTGTTGGATCAGGTTTATTAATCAGATGTCCAAGTGAAGAATAATATTAAGGAAATATCCAGGAAATCCTTCATGAGGATGGAGAACGTTGGAGATAGCAGAGTAGAATGGTTGGTTGTGGAGGCATCTTTTTTCAAGTCAGACTGGCAAAAGTGCAATAGTTCTTTTGCCTGGGACAGGAGGAGACACTGCTGTCATGCTCCTGTACATTTCTTAGACAAAAGATATAATTCTTTGCCTCATCACTTGTACAATATAAGAGCATAGACAAGGGGAAAATGGCATGGATTTTTTTCTTAACATTCCATGCTAGTTGTCATATGTTAATGCAGAAGGCAGGAATTGTACGTAAAATGCACAGTTTGTCAAAATGATGTGATATAATATTTTTATCTTTTAACTGAAGAACTGGGGTGACTGTTTTGTTTCTCTGCACTGTTAGACTCAAATCTGTTCACCATACTTTCAGTGGGAGTGAAAACAGCCTGCTTGGGATGGTGAAACTGAGCTTCCAGGGTCTGGTTTTGGGGTTTTTTTTGTAATTCTTGAGGTGTTGCATCATTAAAGGAACAACGATATGGCTCTGCTTCAGAAAAAACACCATTTCATAAAATTTCCTATGTGGTGTTGGAGAATGGGTATTCAGACTGGTGCTGATTCATGCTCAGTAATCTTATTTATAAGGTAGTATTTTTTTCTCTAACTTTCTGACAATTTATAGTTAAATTGGTAAATTCTTAATGACAGAAACTGTTTTAGATTGTTATAACTGAACAGACCAAATCACATTTCTTATTTGAATTGCTTAACATTTTATGTTCTGTTTAGAAAATGCTCACATTAAAAACAAAAACCTCAGCTGATCTTAGTATTTTGCACAATCAATATAGTTGTAACATTTTACATTTTTTTTAATTTCAACTTTCATAAATACTGGTGGTTGGAAGGTTCAATCCCTGTGTCAGCGCAGGGGGCCTACACATAAAATCTGTTCTAGGTGTAGAGTCTCCTTCAGGAAGAGTGTGAGGAGAAGGATTTTTTAGGGTGATATCTTTTACTGAACCAGCTGCATAGTTGGCATGGTGTTAGACAAGCTTTCGAATGCAAGATGTTCTACATCAGGTCTGAGCGGTAAAAGCCAAAAAGCATTGTAAAAAACAGTTGTAAAAGAGTCCAGCCAGCTTATGAATTTCTGTTCCGAAGCTCACCTTTTAAAGGAGTTGGGTAGATTTCCCATGAGCTTGAGGATAGTAAGGTCAGAAAGGAAGTGGCTGTTCTGTGAGAAATATCTACTACTCCCCCCAGCTTGGTGTTACCTGCAAACTTGCTGAAGGTGCACTCTGTGCCACCTTCCAGATCACTGATGAAAATATTGAACAAAACTGGCACTAGGGGCACGCCACTTGATACTAGCTGCCAATTAGAGATTGAGTCATTTGCTACTACCTTCTGAGTCCAATGATCCAGCCAGTTTTCTGTCTGCCTTACAGTCCATTCATCCAATCCGTACTTCCTTAGCTTGCCTGCAGGAATGTTGTGGGAGACTGTATCAAAAGCCTTCCTAAGTTAAGGTATATCACATCCACGGGGCCAGTCATCCCATCATAGAAGGCAATCAGATTGGTCAGGCATGACTTGCCCTTAGTGAATCCATGCTGACTGATCCTAATCATAATCACCTTCTCCTCCAAGTACTTAGAAATGGATTCCTTGAGGACCTGCTCCATGATTTTTCTAGGGACTGAGGTGAGGCTGACCAGTCTAGTTCTCCAGATCCTCCTGCTTCCCTTTCTTAAAGATGGGCACTATATTTGCCCTTTTACAATTGTCCGCAACCTCTCCCAATTGCCATGTGTTTTCAGAGATGATGGCCAGCAGTTCTGCATTCACATCAGCCAACTCCCTGAGCGCCCTTGGGTGCATCCCATCTGGCCCCATGGATTTGTACACATCCAGCTTTTCTAAATAGTCCCTAACCTGTTCTTTTGCTACTGTTGGCTGCTCACCTCCTCTTTTGGTGTATGTGTGTTGCTGTCCTTTATTTTTTCTATAAGAGTTCATTCTGGTGCTGTTTAGTTTCACCCACAGAGTTGCCATGAAGCCATTTGGGGCATTGGATCAGGTATATCATTTTGAGAACAGCATGAATAGGATCCATGACTTATGTTGGTTTTGTTATGGGGTTGTTGATTGTAGTAAGAGGAAAAGAGTGTTTTTACCAATCTTTTTATTCATTTTAGAGCTTGGCAAAGTTTAGTGTACATCTGTAATCTAGAAAAAAATATTCATTACCTCATTCCTTTATGTCAAAAGAAGGTATTACAAAGGTTAAGTAGGAATAATAGAAGTAAACCATTTGCTTCCTTCATTTAAAAAGCCCTCTTCAAAATACATTTATTTTAAAATAAAGTAATTGATGTGCAAAGGAACACCAGCTATGTTTGTTTCTTTAGCTTTCAAGAAGGCCTTAGAAGGTTAAAAATTGCTGTTTTGTATCAGAAATTTGGGGTGTGGGGGGTCCTAAGGTTCTTGGTGAGTAAAGAACTTGAAAGATCATGATATCTCAGGTACCAAGAAAGTGAAACACAATTGCAAGAGGAAATTGTATTTTGCATTACATGAAAGTTTTTGTGTAGTGTAACATTTTGTTTTTGTCTTGAAAAGTCCTTCATTATAGACTTAGTATCCTACCCTTTCATAGATTTAATAGATTTCTAGGGTTGAAAGGGACCTCAGAAGATCATGAAGTCCGACCCCCTGCCCATGGGCAGGAAAGAATGCTCATGTCAGATGATCCCAGTCAGGTGCTTGTCCAGTCTCCTCTTAAAAACCTCCAAGGTAGGGGAGAGCACCACCCCCTTGCAAGCCCATTCCAGATTCTGGTAACCCTCACCGTAAAGAAGTTCTTCCTAATGTCTAATCTGAATCTGCTGTCTGTCAGTTTGTGGCTGGTACTCCAAGGAGTGCCTTGGTAAACAGAGTATCTCCTATTCTTTGCTGCCTCCACCCCTCCCTGATGAATTTGTAGACTGCTACCAAATCCCCTCTCAGCCTTCTCTTACAGAGGCTGAGGAGATCCAGGTCCCTCAATCTCTTCTTGTAGGACCCCTCCTGCAGGCCTCTAACCATACAAGTGGACCTCCTCTGGACCCTCTCATGGTTATCCACATCCCTCTTGAAGTGCAGCACCCAAAACTGAATGCGGTACTCCAGCTGCGACCTTACCAATGCTGCATAGAGGGGAAGTATCACCTCCTTAGACCTGTTTGTGATGCACCTGTTAATGTATGATAGAGTGCGGTTAGCTCTATTGATCACTTTGTCACATTGTTGACTCATTCATCTTTGAGTCAACTGTGACTCCGAGATCCCTTTCTGCTGCTGTCCTGCTTAGAAGGTCATCCCCCAATCTGTATGTGTGTTGGTGATTTCTTCTCCCTAGGTGCAGCACTCTGCACTTATCTTTGTTGAACTGCATTCTGTTTTGTTCTGCCCAGCTTTCCAGCCTGTAAGTTCAGTTCAGTTCAGTACCCCACCCAATTAGTTTGTCAGAAAAACTTTACACTTTGTCAGAGACCTTTAGCATAACAGGGACAAGAGGTCTCAATATTCCTGACATTTTAGAAGTAAGCAAAAAAAAATCCCATTTCAAGTTTCCTTAAACATCAAAATTAAACCCAGGACATAAGTCCATCTTTTATCCTTTAAAGGTCTCCTTTAATTAGGGTTTCAGGCAGTCCTGCTAACCCACTTGGCTTGTGTTGTCATGGTCCTGCTGTCATTTGTACCATTTTTGCACAGGAAACATTACCTATTCTGACCTTTTTTCTAAACATTTTCATGTTAACATGGTTTGTCCTGATACATGATGTCCCACATACCAGGTATGTCCCCTTTAAAGTACAGACCTTTCAATGCCTTTGATTTTTAAGACTACACCTTCAATAGGAAGGCAAAGATTAAATCTAGTGAAAAAATTTGCATTTGTTCTGTATACCTCATCTTTTGCCATTGTTTTTAACTTTCCTAACTCTGCAATATGTGTATCTTATTTTGGCAGGAAGTATTCTGGTTGGCGTAAAGATGGCTCTTTCCATTATATCCACACTACACCTTTTGGGAACTATTCATTCATCTGTTTGGATGCCACCCTCAGCCCAGGCCCCAAGAGACCCTACAATTTCTTTGGGATTCTTAACACGGTACTGTCTTTGCATTCCAGTTTGCAGTCTGTGATATTTCTTGTAATATGTAGGTCTGTTTGTTTGTTTGTTATCTGACAGGTGAGGTTTGTCTTTACAATTTTCAGACTCCTTTCTTTCTGCAGAAGAGTCCTTGTATTTTAAAATTATGATTTATCTCAAGGAAAACAAATGTGGCTATTTCTTCTCCTTCATTAGAGACCAGTGTAGCTTTTGTTTTTTCTCCCAAGAAATAATCCAGTATTCCAACATTAAAATGGCGGATTAAGACTCAAGCAGACACATAGCAAATTCCTGCAGCCCTTGGGAATGGGCGCAGGCTATGCTGACAAGTAGAGATGGAGGGCAGGGGTGGAGAGGTGAAAAAGAGAAGAGGTAGCAGGGCAAAATCTTACCTGCTCCTGATACTGTTGCTCAGACGGCAGCAGCCTTCTGGCACAGGCTCCCTGGGAGCCTCCCAGGGGTGTCCCATTTGATTCCTCCCACAATATGCTATTGGGTGCAGTGCTGCTCCTAGCGTGGCAAAGACTTCTGGGGTAAGAGGAGCACCATTCTGCTCACCCCACTTGTCCCCTGCCCCCCAGATACACTGCTAGGTGTGGGCCTGCGCCTGCCTGGCTCCTGTAGCCAGACTGGGTGGATCTGCTCCCAGCATGGCAGACTCCAGGGGAGCAGGGCATTCTGGCATCCTCTCGATAGCCAGTGTCCATGGTTGGTGGCGTGTTCTCCCCACCCTCAGTTACTAAAAGTTTTTGATGGCAGTAGTGTATTTCAGTGTTTCCTTCCTAATTCTGCCTTTTTCAGTTTGGCAGATGTATTCTTTGCATTTCAGATGAAGCAAGAAACAAATGTCTTTATTAGTTAGGTGCTTTTCTTAGTGCACCAGCCTTCATAGAATCATAGAATTAGGGCCAGAAGGGACCTTGTAGATCTTCAAGTCTTGACCCCCTGCCTGGGCAGGAGAAAATCTGAGCTCAAATGACTCCAGCCAGGTAGGCCCCCAGGGTAGGAGCCAGCACCACTTCCCCTGGAAGTTGGTTCCAGATCCTAGCCGCCCTAACTGTGAAGTAGTTCCTACGGATGTCTAATCTAAACCTACTTTCCAACGACTTATGGCTGTTATTCCTTGTTATGCCAGGGGGCGCTAGGGGAAACAAGGTCTCTCCCAAACCCTTCTGGTCCCCCC